TTTACTACAAGCTATTTTAATAATAGATGTCGCTATAATATTGAGTGTGGGAAATCTTCTTTCAATGTGTTGTTGCAAAGTCATGAAGTTGTTGCAAAAATCAAAAAAAAATCCTTCATGCCTTTTGCGCCCCGGTGTGCTGCATTCTCTGTACTCCCGCTCGGACAATCCCCGATCTCGATGTTATAGAGTTTGGCAATTTTGGTGGAGATTTTTCTTGAAAATCGACAATTCAGAAAACCCGTGGAATATTTCGAATGCGATGTGTCAATTTTGGTTATGACCCTGGCCGAAATTTTGTTATGTTCAAAGGGTCGAAAAAAGTGCGGATAGGCAGACAAACTGACACATAAACCGAAAGCTTTTTCCATGGAAAAACAATGTTAAACTGCCGAATTTTTTTTCATTTATAATCAAAATATGGTGTGAGGCGGCTCGGCAAATGTTGGATGTTCTTTCCTCCGTAATATAAAAATTGACCTATAGGCTTTTTTGTGCTTTCGTCACTCGTTCCTACGATCCCGGTTTTCTTTATCCCGCAGCCGTTTGTTAAAATTCGAATTAATCGAAAAAATTTCGCCGAATTAAAAAATGATGGAATGGCCGAATACGCTATACCATAAAGAATATTCTGTTAGAAAAATACAAATACAAACTATGTCCCGTTTTTCTTGGAAGTTGGGCCATATGGTGTCCAGCAATGAGACCGGTTCTGATGATTAGGGCGTAGTAAATGTATCAATAAAAGATGTTCAAAAAATAAAGCATCAAAGGGTCATTTTTGCTCGAGCACCCTGGTTCTTTGCACCACTTGAACTAGGCGCTTTTCAGGTCTTTGCTTTTTTCCGACCCCCAATTTTGACCCCCATCTGGCAAGAAAAAATTACCCCCTATCTAGAATTTTTGACCTTGCACACGTCTGACTTGAACCCCCGGTAGGAATTACTCTGATCGTGTTTATTGGATGCATTTATCATTTATAATAATTTATTAATCAGTAATGTTGCAATAATTGCAGTCACGTTACAAACTGGGTTTCTTTTAATCATTATAAATGCAACTGTAACTTGCGAAGGAAAATAAAAGTTAAAACTTGTAAATATCATAAAATAGACAAGAATGTACACATCTACTCCTTACACTTTGTGACTTTAGTTTATGCACTACCTTTTTAAAAAAAAAGGTTGTATACTAGTTGGCTGTCCATTTTGGGTCAAATCTTATAACTATGTACGTCAAAAATATAGTTGAAAGTCTCAGGCCCAAACTAGTTTACTGTTGCGATCTACTAGTCATTAATAAATCGTATGAAGAGATATGATTAAATTACTCCCAGAATATATACTAAGCATTGGAACTCAGTAAGCTGAGATTAGTACATTTTGGATTTGTGACTTAAAATGCAATTTTTATTAAATGGTGACAATGAAAATATTTGCCACAATTTGAATGAATAGCAATGGGAGAGGATCGCAAAGCGATATAGTTTTTGAGTTATACCACAATATCCGATAGATTCTTGTTTGGTTCAGTGCGTGACGCTAGTGTATAGCTGTCAAACGCTCAAAACGTTGTATTCTTATAATTCTTGGAATATAAGAAGTTAAGGAAGAACTCTCGCAAATATTATTTATATAATACAGGATTCTCGCTTGAGCGTTATTTTTTTGTCGGATTTGACGCACTAAAAATAATATCCACCCTAATAACAAACTCCTCTTGTGAAAACTGAGCACTAACTAACAACTAACTAAATAACTAGAGCTGGAATGCCTATACATTATTATTACACTCACTATGCCCCTTCCATCCGTACCGCTCTCATTGCTGGGCGCCAAATGGCCCAAAATGGGACATAGTCCTTTGTTTGAATCATTCACAACATCAAAATCTACCAATCTCGGCTCGCTGAGTTACTATGCTCAGCATATATCCTAAGCTATCTCGCATTCAGTCGGAGCAACTAACTATTTTTGTTAAGTATGTGGGGGCGCCCTTATTTTATTTCCAACAATTAACACTAGTATAAAAACAAATTCTCTTTAAAAAGGCTTCAAGCAGATAAAAATATATAGAAACAAATCCACATCTCTTCTGCATGTAATGCTAAAATCTCGGTACATAGTGAAACCTATTGAATATATAAAATTTATTTTTATATTGAGATATCAGACCCAATCCGCATTATGCGTTCGCATCAAACATCAACAAGTGTTTGAATATATGTTTTAGATTACTTAAAAATAAAAGAAAATGTTTGGACAAATGTGCATTGAGATTTGATATGAATCTCGATTATCTTGATAATTTCATGAGTCCAAGGACTCATTACGGGTTCGAAGATTCCAAAGAGTGCTTACCTCGTAATTATTTCCTGGAATACGAACAGAGACGTCATCCTTAGTAAAATCGTGACTAAGAACCTCTGCTGCACTTTCACGTCCATTATATGTAATGAAAACTCGTTGCCTAGGTGCTAAATGTACGCTCATTACATTTTGAAAACCCGGTCCTATCAATTCTGAACCCAAATACTCATTGGTTCCAACCATTTCTTGACCCAAATCGAACCGCACCATGTACTTTGTATCCGCCGTCAAAATGATGCAATTGTTATCACGAATTCCAACAGATTGTGTTTTAACTTTCTGTATTATGCCACTATAGTATAGTTTGTCTGGCCCTGGTGCACACACTCTCGTGCCGACAATCGATCTTTTGGCCAAACGTTTGTTAGTTGTCATTTTGAAGAGAGATTGCGAAGTTGGTAATAATTTAGAATGGTTTAAAAATTTCTTAGTTTTTAAGCCAATTTGATTGGCGTTCTTTCTCGGAGTCAGTTTATCCTTAATTTTGCCGGTTAATGATGCGGTTTAAGCGAATATGTAGTCGTCCACTATTCGCTCTCACACGCTCAATCACGTATAAAAAAATATATGTATATATATGTATACACAGAGTTATTCGTAATTCGAATGTTTTAACATACATAAAGTATTGCTTATACTTTTATATATCAATTGATTCGTATCGATACTTGAATTAAAATTTTCCTTGCTTTAACCTTCGCGTTACCATACACTAACATTATTTGGCGGATTGCATAAATTTTCTGGACATAAATATCACTTGAAGTTATACGAAAAATCCTGTTGATTTTTTTTTCTTCAATTTTTTCTTTATATACACACGAAATCGTCTATAGTATGCACACCAACACAATCATAAATATTTTTCAACGTAGTACCAAGTTTATACATAATGTAAACCATTATGCACTTTTTCACAATTTATTTATATATTTTTATTGAATTGACCAAAATCCAAGTAACTTTAAGATAAATATGTTGTAAATGTTCAAATTAGTAAAACACAGTATAGAAATACATAAATTCCTTATCAAATGGAATTCACTTAAAATGTTTCTTTGTTCACCGACCAATTTTTTTCTTTCTTCCGATTGAGCAAGGTTTACTTGTTTACACTGCACTCACTATTGTATAGTAAAATATTCATAGAACGGGAGATGTTTCAGAACTCATACACGAATTTGAATCTACGAAGAGAAAAAAAAATTCACTGCAAAACTATCCACACATTGAAAACACTCACAACTGGTATTTAAGACCTTAATACAAAGGTATTTACAACCACTAAGAGCAATAAACGAGAATGAACTAACAAGAGCGAATTACAAACTTGAACTGAATGCGTGATTCGTTGTCTCCTATGAATCAGGCTGCTCAATGTTCATAATATTTACAAACGTTTGCATGTTGCAATACATGTATCGTAGGCACTCTAACCGTTAATACCAATACACTCATATTGGTACTAACACCACTAGATTTGCTTTCATATACATTTGGAGTTTTGTATTAAATTTATTTGCGAAAGTTATGTACGTACCTTATTTATTTTTTTTCTGTTGAATTCCTTCACAATAATTTTATCAATCTTTAGGCCTAGAAGTTAGTCAATGGAAAATGTGTTTGAAAAAATAATAATATTTTGTAATTCAGAAAAGTTTCTTTAAAAATGCAAAAGCCGAAAATAAAATGAAAAAAATAAATTTTCAGCTTATATACATACATGTATATAATGTGGATTGAAAATATCAAAACTAAAAGGCCGTACACATACAAATGTAGAATTTAGTTTTTGTTCATAATGTAAACAAAGATGGAAACATCATATGTATGAATACACTTGACACAAACAGATGGAAAGAGAACCATATTTGTTTTCTCTCCGTCTCGTTCGCATGCCGCTACCAGCTGATGAATATTAGCCGATGCGCAGCACCGTCTTTCTACTTACGTTTTTTTATTGTTTATTTACCAATACAAACATATTCAAAGCATTGACGCAGGCCAGTTGTTGTGCTTCTTGATACTGTTCATGGTAATGAAGAAGGGGAAGTTACGTACAATCGAATAACAGCTGTGTATATTTCATTTTGTCTTTACGCGTGAATTAAGTCACGAATATTATTTCAACGCTACAGACTTTCAAATTAAATGGAAGGGATCACCTTCGGTATATCCACAGTTTTGAGAGAAAAACAAAGTGATTTGAAATATCGAATCCAAATTTATATTTATATATATATGTACACATATATATACATATGTATATATTCACTACAGCTGAAGCATTTAAATTTATAATACGTATCATGGGCATTTGATAGATTTTAAATGAACACTGAACCTTTCTCAAACACAAGTTATTAACACCAACATAATCTAACAGCTGTTCTTTGTTAAGAAATATATTTTTAAAACATTTGATATCTTTGAATATGAGAATGCTTACTGAAAATTGTTCAGTCTTTCTAGTTTTCATTGAATGATTTGAGCTAACCTTCCCTAAATGAGATTGGGGAAATATGAGCGGTACTATTTTCAATTCATAGTGTGTGTGACATAACAATGCTAGTTAAATGGGTCAAGTAAACTTTCCGAAATTTGTATTTCATGTACAATCTTTTCCGACTTTTCACATTTCCCTGCTTTTTCCTTTCATTATATATCAAATGTTTGCAATTAGGTCGCAAATAAATAATAATAATTTTATAATTTATTTATTTACACCGCCAAAAAACTGGGTGAATATTCAGTTTTGCAGGAAAACGACTCCAAGAGTCATGAAAAACCTGATCTTTTTGTGTTTGTACGATATAGGGTATTTTCATACAATAGTTAGATATAGTAGTCTTTTACTTTTCCGCAAACTTGTTTGTTAGGAAAAGTATTGGTTTTACTAGCCAAAATTTCATGACATCTCCTCTTTCTGAACACTATAACGTCGCGCCAAACTTCAAAAAGCACATATCTGTACACTAGGCAATGTAGATGGGATGAAATCCTATCGATCAAGACCTATCTACCCCCAAAAACATGTTGTTTACTATGAAATATGTGCAAAATAGCGATGTGCGTATGGCGTCGTTCGCGTCCGAGCTTTTTGTTCGCCGGATATCTCAAAAATTTGGCAAGTTAATTGAGATCTGTAAAAGCCAAAAGTTTTGGCATGTCGAGACAAAGCTTCGGATTGATTTTGAGCCCATTCTGATTTACCAATTTCGTACCATAAACCTCCGACTGAGGACCTGAAAAACCTTGAAAAATGACACTTTTGTACGGGAAGTACCCGAAAAAAGCATTTTTCAGGGTTTCTAAGACAAACTGCCATTTTTTTGCAAAAATAATGGGAGTCTGTGAACAACCGAACACCCACTTGCCCATAAATTTGGTTCAAAATCGACATTTCTTGAAATTTTCCTCGAAAAATAGACTTTTGTATGAAAAATCGCACAGAAAGCCATTTTTTAGGGTTTTAATCAAGTCAAACTGCCATTTTTTTGCAAAAAAAATGGGAGCCTTCAAACAACCGAACACCCACTTGCCCATAAATTTGGTCCAAAATCGATATTTCTTGAAATTTTCCTCCAAAAATAGACTTTTGTATAAAAATTCACTCAGAAAGCCATTTTTTAGGGTTTTGGTCAAAGCAAACTGATGTTTTTTTGCAAAAAAAATGGGAGCCTTCAAACAACCGAACACCTACTTGTCAATAAATTTGGTCCAAAATCGACATTTCTTGAAATTTTCCTCGAAAAATAGACTTTTGTATAAAAAATCACTCAGAAAGCCATTTTTTTGAATTTTGGTCAAAGCAAACTGATATTTTTTGCAAAAATAATGGGAGCCTTCAAACAACCAAACACCTACTTGCCCATAAATTCGGTCCGAAATCAACATTTCTTGAAATTTTTGAAATTTTGTACGAAAATGACACTTTTGTATGGAAAATGTTCGAAATAGTTATATTTTAAGGTCAAAATGCTATGAAAAAAGGGTCCATTGAAATTTTGGTTAAACATTAAGCGGGAGGTAAACTAAATTGCTGCGGAGCAGAAAAGTTTGGATTACGTATGTTATTCGTTTTGGTCTGAAGAATAAGAATTTGGTCTGTAAAAGCTTTGACATAAAATAACCTAACCGATACATGGAAATGCATAGGTAGTCGAAATGTAAACGGTCCAATATAGCCTAACTTAAACGTGTAAAAATGAAAGGCTAACTGAAGCGTTAACACTGAAGTGACGGCCCTAATGACTGCAAAAGTCATCACGCAATTTATCCAGAAGTGATACATTGAAGAAAAATTTTACGTCTAATCTAACAAGTCCCTGTTGGTAGTTATGCGTTTACAATTTAGTCGAGACTAAAAGACGTAGGAAATCAACTAATTTCCGCAATACATTGACAAAAGCTAGTTCCCATTATAAAGCAATAACCGGTCAAAAATTAATCACCAACTCAAAGGACGGCTATATCACAGTCAATGTTGCTAAATTTACGATAAATTTGTGTAAAAATCACATTTATGCATCATTAATACCAGAGCATGTTATTAGCTGACGTCGGCGGCCGATGGGGCAAATCACCCTAAAGTAATTTGTAATAGAGAAAGTCATCGAGAAAGTAATTTACGTGTAAAAATCTCGATTACTTTTCAATTTTTTAAAAGTTATCGAGATTTTTACACGTAAATTACTTTCTCAATTATTTTCTCTATTACGAATTACTTAAGAGTGATTTGCCCCTCGTCGGCAGCACTAACTAACATCAGCTGCTGAGCTCAGATGCTGACGAGTATGCGTTGCGTTGTTTCAACGGATTTGCAGTATAAAAACCCACAACCCCTGCACCACACTAACAAAACAAAGTAAAACACGAATTTGCGATGAGCGCATTCAGTGAAGTTCATTTCAATTCTTTTCGTCGTTAGACGCACTCATGAACGCGACGAATCGAACGCATCAACAATGTTCCGTAATGAAAGAAACATTTTTTAATTATAAAATTGATGTTTATCACGTGCTACGCTCTCACAAAAATCAATTTTGCACATTCGTGACATTTTTATTTTTTTTGTCTACTTTATTAACAAATATAAAAAAGATTCAATAATACATTGAACGATCTGTGTCACAACTTTTGACACTTGTCTCGTAGCGCTAGAAGTGAGCTGTCAGACGCTTAGATGCAGGACCTTCGTAAAAACCAAAGTTTCAGTAATCATCCCATTGGTATATTCAATCATCTCATTGGTATGTTGGGATGATATCTCGTTTTTATACTGTAAATGCGTTAAAATAACGCAACGCATACTCGTCAGCAGCTGAGCTCAGCAGCTGACGTTAGTTAGTGCTGCTGAAGTCAGCTCAAAACACGCTCTGATTAATACCAATTGAGAAAGACTACTATAACTAATTATTGTATGAAATTACCCTATATCGTACAAACACAAAAAGATCAGGTTTTTCATGACTCTTGGAGCCATTTTCCTGCAAAACTGAACATTCACCCAGTTTTTTGGCGGTGTAAATAAATAAAAAAAATTAATTCTATACATTCAGTAATCATGTAAGAAAACAATTTTTATTGTAAAATTATAAGAAATCTCAGATTTCGTTTATCATACATCACTGTTAATTTTTTTAAGTTTCAACAGCTCCCCCAGTTCGATATTTGACCAACGAATGTTTCATTATTTGTTGTAATACTTCAAAATTATTTTTGTAATGATTTGTAAATTTGTTTGGTCTAATAAAAATTCTTACATCCAATTTTATTCCCCCCATAGGGGTTGGATATATCGGACCAGAAAAGTCTAACTAAATCGTTAGGTGTTTCTTCAAAATATGTACGATGAAAATCCGAAAAAATCTACGATAGGCCTAAAGTGCCGGTTCCTATGCACTTCGTTAATGCTTACTATTTATTTTAAGGGGTTCACATTAGTGTTGGCAGTCGAATACTTTCGAACGCTAGTTAGTTCATTCCAAATGAATGGACAATTTCTCTTCGTTCTTTCGTTCAAAAACTTAAAGGAGAGTTTGCTATCGCAAATAGCGTGTTTTGTAGCTCCCCTGTGGATTCTGTGAGTCTAACAATCTTTCGAGTGTTAAAAAACTACGCGGAAAAGTGTGATGTGTTTCAACACCGCAAATGACCCCAAAAAGGGTGGAATTCAAGTGTGCGAAAATGTTTACGAAGTGGTTTATCAAAGATTTCAATATACTACGCCTAAAATGTAGTATATTTGGATGTTGAACAGTTTTTCCAAATGAGCTGCATCTTTCTTCAAATGATGACCGTCTGACTAAAACTATACACAAA